GGGGATTCAAATCCACGACCCACAGATTGCAAATTGAGTGCCCTAACCACAAGGCCATGCCATGCCTAGATCTTTCCATCTTAAAATATAAGCTTCTCAAATAAATTGATTCAAAAATAGTTGTCAGTATTAAGTTTAATGTGCCAAATTTTTATTTTTAAAGAAATAATACAAACCTTAACCGAGTCTGCTAATTTCAGCTCTTCCTCCGTTAACTCTATTTCTTGTATTTCATCCTGAGATTGCCCATATTTTGCAGCATTGATCATCTTTCCATCTTCAAACATAAGCTTCTGGACATTAATCTATCATGTAAGAGATGAATAATATTATAAAATTCAGTTTTGAATACATATATAAAACAAACATTTGTTTTATGAACCAAAACATGCAGGAATGTTTTCCATGTAGAATTATACTATTGAGAAAATTATAGTCAGTTATGTGGACTTCATCCATTTGCTCAGAGCCTATTTGAAGGTAGTTTTGATCTAAAAATGAATTTTTCATCTGAAATTTCTTTTATCTTAATACTTTTTTTCTCAGTAATTCAGAAAACAATTTCGTATGCATAGAAATGAGTTTTGGCTGATCAAGAATACTCCAAGCTGTGAACAAAACTCGACGTTTTTTGATGGAAGTGTAAGCAAGACACTTGAGAGGGTACTTTAAACTAAACTATCAATAATAGAAGTGGTTGAGGTAGAAAACTAACTTTTGAGAATAGGTGTTAAGTATCTCTAGGTATACTCTTTATGATATAAGAGTACAGTCAATTAGAGATTTTGGTAATTACGTTGCTGTGATGACAAATGTGAGCATCACCTTGAGAAAAATGAACTCAGTGAACATGTAACTTCAACAATGGCTGCTGAGAAGAGGTAACCAAGACAAAAGATTAAAATTGACATCAGATCATGAACAGAGGAATGAGTAAAGCTGTTGACATGTGCTCTTTATACATCAAACCAAGAATGAATAACAATTTATTCAACTGCAGAAAGGATAACTTTACCATGTTCAATGTACAACATCTATAGAAAAGTACTATTTTAAATCTGCATTTCAGTGATCTAAGGAAAACTAATAATTGGTGAAAAGTCCATGCATATTGATTCATTATGAACATAACTTATCAGGCAAGTATTCATCTTTCAGCAAGACAATTATTCCAACCATACAGCAAAGGTAATGAAATGGTATCTTGATAGTAAAGAGTTCAATGAAATGCTAACAATCATGATTATGCCTGATGTAGACACTCATGAGACTGTTCCAGCCAATGTAAAAACTGACAATCATGATTATGCCTGATGTAGACACTCATGAGACTGTTCCAGCCAATGTAAAAACTGATAAGGTCAAAAACAACTAATCAACTTGGACAAATTCTTGGGAGTAATACACGTCAGTAGGTACAATATTCCACAATAGTACATCGATGAGCACAATCAAAACAATAATAAGGTGGAATGCAAACATAGATAATAATAGAATGATGAAAATTTTATTTTTATTTTGTATTTTTGTGATAACATTTTGAATCATTTATAAAACTGCCATTTAGTTCTATTATTCATTGTTTCTTGACTCATGTATGTGTATTGCTTGTGAGTTTCCATAATTAATTAATGTTTATAAGTAGGTAAAGAATACTGCACAAGTCAATATGGTAAAATGCTCTTACTTTTAAAAAAGCTAAATTGTTTTTTTCTTATATAAAATATAGAATTTGTTACTGGCAATTTATACAAAATTTAGCAAACAAACTAGAACATCAATTGTCGTTTAGTGTCTTACAGGTTTCCCATCATTCCCAAATAACACTAGGCCTTCTTTATGAACAATGGCTGGTTGTTTCATTCCTTCTACGGTAACTTCTTGACCAGATGGCACTGGAACTGACCAAATCCGAGACCCATACACTCTAACAAACTGACAGAATAAATCATACATAAACAAATTATTAAATTTTACAGTTTAAAGAATATATTTAGTTAAAACAATAGCATGCACTTAACATCTATCTCATCAATTTACATATAATTCAACAAAAATACATGGCTTTGTCAATGGACTCAAAGTTACAAAAAAACAACAACTTGTACTACCAAACTGATATTATACATAAAGTTCAGGTTTTTAAATACTATTTATTATTCAAAAGGCTTGCCAAGAATCTTCCTTTCTAGAGTTTCTACAAGAAAACCATTTTTTTCATGCTTATAACCATAGTTAATCAAATTGTATAACATAAGCAGCAAATTATCTGCTGATCTGGCTTTGTTAAATTATGTACTCTGCTTTATGAATAAACAAGCTCTCTTCCATATAAGCTTTGTTAATATGTAGACTCTGCTTTATGAATAAACAAGCTCTCTTCCATATAAGCTTTGTTAATATGTAGACTCTGCTTTATGAATAAACAAGCTCTCTTCCATATAAGCTTTGTTAATATGTAGACTCTGCTTTATGAATAAACAAGCTCTCTTCCATATAAACTTTGTTAACATGTAGACTCTGCTTTATGTTAACATGTACTCTGCTTTTTGTTAATATGTAGACTCTGCTTTATGAATAAACAAGCATATAAACTTTGTTAATATACAAACTCTGCTTTATGAATAAACAAGCTCTCTTCCATATAAACTTTGTTAATATGTAGACTCTGCTTTATGAATGAACAAGCATTTCAACTTTGTTAATATGTAGACTCTGCTTTATGAATAAACAAGCTCTCTTCCATGTAAACTTTGTTAATATGTACTCTGCTTTATGAATAAACAAGCATATAAACTTTGTTAACATGTACTCTGCTTTATGAATAAACAAGCATATAAACTTTGTTAATATGCAGACTCTGCTTTATGAATAAACAAGCATATAAACTTTGTTAATATGCAGACTCTGCTTTATGAATAAACAAGCATATAAACTTTGTT